TAAGGTTACAACTAAGAGTATGTCTACACTGCCCACGTTACAGCGTGGCCGCGGCAGCACTGTGACGTGGGCAGTGTAGTCACGCTTTATGGCCGGGGGAGAGCTCTCCCAGTGATAAAAATAACCACCCCGAATGAGGCGCTATTTATACTGGTGTTTTTTCACACCCCTGAATGACTAAAGTTTTCGCGCTGAAAATGGCAGTGCAGACATCGCCTAAAGCTTCTCTTCAAACAAAGCCACAGCTATGAACTTTTTCCTTTCAAAACAGGATGTTGTTGCACAAGCTGCTGGGGTTCGGTTTGATAAAAGGGCCAAGGTGAAGTTGTATCCCTTTTCAAAACGCAAGCTAGCAGTATGTCCCGGTACTATACCTGCCTACACACCTCCCTGTTCTTTTCAATGCAGTCCTCTCTCCTGGCACTGTGTGACAGACCCGCACAAGTAACCGGGGAAAAGCGTGACGCTGACTCTACACGAATGTGGCCAGCGTTTCTCAGCAGCACTCAGCATCGCTTGTAAGTGCTTAAATAATGGGGCCAGATTTTCAAAAGTGCTGAGCACCCAACCTCTCCCATTCGCTCCCAAGTGCTGTTGAATGCACCAAGTACTGGGAAACCAGGCTCCTTTGAACCATGATCATTTCTGGGAGCCAGAAGTCTTGCCTCTGTCTAAGGGTAAGTAAAGCTGTGCAGACAGAAGTGAGACGTGTTGTTATTAAGTTGACGGCATTCCCTTTAAGGAGACACTAAGCATGGAAACTGAAAAACATTCTAGTGCCAGACCATCTGGGGCACCTTGTGGGCAGCATTTGCAAATGTAGGTGTGAGCCATGCACCTGCAGAGCCCCACATTTCAGTGACTGAGTGAGGGCATGTGTTGGCATGCGCTGCCCAGTGAGATGGCTTGTGCCCACAACTGCCATGATAGGTGCCACATAAAAACCTAGAGGAGACCAAACCTAGAGTTCTCAAAGTTTAATGGGTGCATATGCATTTGTACAGGATCCCCATTGTACTGATGCAGCAAGATTTTCCCCTGTATATTTTACTGAACACCAAACTATCCTGTGTGTGGCATTGCAGCTGGTTGCTGTGGAAATGACTGTAATGCCATAAATGGTGCATGGGGAGCTTACCTAAAATCTCCAGCTTCCACCTCCCCCTTCCTCCCCATGACATTTGCTCATTAAAATTAAACAGTGTCCCACAGGTACCACAGTGACTAATCACCAGTGTGCTGTGTACTGTCCATGCTCTGCAAGGCAGCTGTTTACCTCCTACGTGTCTCTAAGGCCTCTCAAGAGACTAAACCAACCACAGCTGGTAAACAAACTCAAATCCCACCAGGCCTGCTCTAGGCCCCAGTCTAGGAGAGTGCAGGGCACCTCCTCCTGCACAGCTGGCAGCCTGGAGGAGAACAGTTTGAGAGACACCTGGTGGTGGAAAAGGAGAAGTGCTCTCTTGAAATCTGGTTTAAAATCCTTGTAGGTATTTTAGAGCCAAAGTTAAAATACTCAGTCTGTAAAAGTAACAGCAGAGACATTGTCAAATGTTTTCCTTTAAGGGCATTTATGGGTTATAAATACTACCACAATGCTGCATGATGGTGTAGTTTGTACACATGGGCGTAGTTTGGAGGCGTATAATAGGGCATTGCTCCCCCAAACCGCAAGCCTCAGGCAGGCATGGGATTTTCCCCCATGTGTAACCCAGTTGGCCTGGCTTAGGGTGACCAGATAACAAGTGTGAAAAATTGGGCGAGAGGGTGGGCAGAGAGGTAATAAGGGCCTATTTAAGAAAAAGCCCCTAATATGGGGACTGTCCCTATAAAATTGGGACATCTGGTCACACTAGCCTGGCTGGAGCTGCCTCCCTC